ATCCACCCACGCCTGGTGGGGGTCCGGACCCACCCTGGTCGGAAGGGGATCCGGGCCATCCTGGGTGGGAACCGGTTCCGCCCAGGTCGGGTGGGGGTCCGGACCATCCCACTGGAACCGGATCCACCCGGGCCGGGTGGGGGTCCGGACCATCCCGGGTGGGAACCGGATCCACCCAGGCCGAGTGCGGGTCCGGACTATTCGGGGGAGAACCAAATGATATGATCAAATACCTACCTCATTACAGGGCCAAGCACTTCGATTACGTTGGGTTACCATCATTTGGGGCAATCAAAAGATCCTTACCAGGAACCGGATCCACACGGGCCGGGGGTGGGAGTCCGGACCATCCCAGGTGGGAACGGGCTCCACCCGGGTCGGGTGGGGATCCGGACCATCCCGGGCAGGAGCCAGATTCTCCCGGGTCGGGTGGGGGTCCGGACCATCCCGGGTGGGAATCGGACCCACTCAGGCCGGGTGGGGGTCCGGACCCACCGTGGCCGGGTGAGGCTCAGGACCACCCCGGGTGGGAATCGGATCCACCCAGGCCGGGTGGGGGTCCGGACCATCCCGGGTGAGAACTGGATCCACCCAGGCCGAATGGGGGTCCGGACTATCCAGGTTGGGAAGCGGATCCAGCCGGGTCGGGTGGGGGTCCGGGCCATCCCGGGTGAGAACCAGGTTCACCCAGGCCGGGTGGGGATCCGAACCACCCCGGATGGGAACCAGACCCACCCGGGCCGAGTGGGGGTCCTGACCATTACGGTTGAGAACTGGACCCGCCTAGGCCGGGTGGGGGTACGGACCATCTCGGGTGGGAATCGGATCCACCCACGCCTGGTGGGGGTCCGGACCCACCCTGGTCGGAAGGGGATCAGGGTGACAGCTGTCGGAGTGTGTGACCCTCACCAGCACCTGCTCTTCTTCCTGTTGTTCTTCTTCAACACTCCCTGCTCTGTGCTGCCCTGCCTCAGTCACTCACTGCCCCCTCCTGTGCCCGTGCTTGGGTAGCTCGAGCTCGTGTCACAGGACCAGCTTGCTGAGGCTTGCTCCCCCTCATCAGGGCCGTGTTGGTCTGGTGCTCCTTCAGCTGTGCCCCCTTTTCGTTCTCCAGCACGAGAATCCCCGAGGGCCGAACTTCCTTCACTCTCCACCTCTCGGTCCCCACCCCGACGTCCAGCGTGTCCTGTTTCGCCCTTTTCAGGTACACCTCCTGCCCCTCACTTGCTCCCTTTTTCTCTCTCCTTCCCAACATCCCCTGCTGCTGGCGTTGCTCATAACGTCTGGCGTCTCTCAGCTGTGCCGTGTGTAGGTTTTCTAGCGCTGCTGGCATTATCACTCGGAGGTACCTTGCCCTGGCCTCTGACAAGGCCACCCAGTTGTCTATGGTGCCTGCTGTCACTGTATCCGTGAGGACCCGTGGTGCCCCCACAGGTAGCACCGGCTCACAACCAAACAGAAGGCTGTAGGGTGAATGGTCTCTCAGGGCAGCCTGCTTCCCAAACCTATAGCCTGCCGCAATCCAGTGTAGCTCATTGTCCCATTCCCGCTTCCTTTTCTCCCCATATGCCCGCAGCCCTCGCTTCAACGTCTGCACTAGGCGCTCGGTCAGCCCATCACTCTGTGGGTGATACCGAGAGGTGCGCCTGTGGGTGATTCCTGCTTCCTCTAACAGCTCCCTGAACTCCCCTTGAAACTCTGTGCCTTGATCGGTGAGCACCTCTGCACACGCCCCAAATCTGCATATTACTTGTTCCTTGAATGCTGCTGCCACATGTCTTGAGCTCTTGCTGGGGATAGCCCTCACCTCCAGCCACTTGCTCACGTGCTCCACCATGAGCACTATGTACCGTTTCCCCCCCCGGCTCAGCGGCAGTTCCCCCGCCAGGTCCAAGGACCATCTGAAGCCTAACCCGCGGATGGGCAGGGACTGCAGCTCGGCCTTGGCTTGGGTCAGGTTTTCTCGGCTCCTTTGGCAGGCCTCACATCCCTCCACCCACTTCTGCACCTGCCTGCGCATTCCCTCCCACCACCAGCCCGTCTTCAACAACTGCACTGTCCTCTCATGCCCGAAGTGCCCCAGCTTTGAGTGCACCTCCTTTACCACTGCTTCCCTCTCGCCTGGGGCCGGCACCAGCTTCCACCCACCCTCGGTCTGTATCTGCAACTGCTGCTGGTACCACCTGTAGTGGTGCCCCCTTGCTCTCACCCTCTCGCTCATCTCCTCGTCTGCCCCTGTCTCTCCCTTCACCCATCTCACAGCCTGCTCATCCTCCCAGATATCAGCTGGCCCCTTGCTCCTCCTGGCCCCACTCAGCTCCACCTGTCTGGCCAGCAGCGCAAGAGTCACTGTTGGCTCTAGCGGTGGGGGGTTACGGGAGAGGCCGTCCACATGCTGCAAGGTTTTTCCTGGCCTGTGCTTGATTTTGAAGTCATACTCCTGCAGCTTCATTGCCCATCGTGCATTCCTGCCTGTTAACCCTGGTGTAGTCATCAGCCATGTCAGTGGCTGGTGGTCCGTCACCAGGGTGAGCTCCCGCCCCTGCAGATAGACCCTGAAGTGCCCCACAGCCCATACTGCCGCCAGTCCCTCCCCTGTGTACGAGCTGTACTGTGCCTCCGCCGAGTTGCAGCTCCTACTCGCGTAGGCCACCACCTTCTCATTCCCTTCCACCTCCTGGCAGAGTATCCCGCCCATCCCTTGGCTGCTCCAGTCGGTGTAGAGGGTGAAGGGTTGGTCTGCTGCTGGCAGCTGCAAGACGGTTGCTGTTTTCACTGCCGTCATCAGGTCCTGCAATGCCCCCTTCTGCGCTTCCCCCCACTCCCATGTCTTGTCCTCCCTTAACAGTCCGTTCAACACCGCTGCCCGCCTGCTGAAGTTGGGCACAAATCGCCGGTAGTAACTCAGGAACCCCAATACCGCTCTCAGCCCTGTCTTGTCCTTTGGTTCTCGCAGCCTATCCAGCACCTCCACCTTCGCTTGCTGGATCCCGATCTGCCCCCCTTTCACCTCGTAGCCCAGATACTGAATGGTCTGCTCACCCCACCTACACTTCTTCGGGTGAAACGTGAGTCCTGCTGCTTCTATTGCTGCCAGTGTCTTCTCTACATCCTGCAGGTGCTGCTGTTCGGAGGTGCTGAAGATCACCACGTCATCTATGTAGCACGCTGCACATTCTACGTCCCTCAGCACTGCATCCATGACTCTCTGAAACACTGCTGATGCGTTCCTCAGCCCGAATGGCATGTAAAGCCACTCGTACAGCCCATCCGGCCCGTGGAATGCCGTCTTCCTAACGTCCTCCTCCCTGATTTTTATCTGATTGAACCCCTGCCGCAGGTCCAGCGTCGTGAAGAACACCCCCTCTGCTAACTTGTCAAATATATCCTCCGCCATCGGCATTGGGTACCTGTCCGCCACGGTAATCTTGTTGAGCGCTCGGTAATCTCCGCACATCCTCCTGCTCAGGATCTCCCCTGTTAAGTCCTTCCTCGCTGCCACCACTGTTGGTGTGGCGTATTCTGATTCTGAGCGCCGGATCAGTCCGGCCGCTAGCAGCTCCTTAATCTTCTCCTTGCATATCTCTTCATCTCCGTGCGGCATCTTCCTACGCCGTTGGAACACCGGCTCTGTGCTGCTCAGTTTCAGCTCCATCTCCTTCACTTTGCACCTTCCCAGTTCTTGCAGTGTGAAGGCAAAGCACTTCCTATGCTTGGCCAGCAGTCCCAGCATAGCTTCCCTTCCCTCTTCACTCATCGCTTCCCCCACTATCCACTTCTCTCCCTCCTCCTCCTGGCAGGTCCATGCTCCTTGTGGGGCTGCTGCTGCCGCCGCCTTATCTGCCTCTTGCCCCCCGCCCAAGACCATCTCTCGCCACATCCTCTGCACCAGCCACCTCATCATGTAGCCATCCATGGCATTCCCCAGTGCCCTCCTCCTGTCTTCCTCGCTCACCCCTGGTGCTGCCGTCACGTTTTCTCCATATCCCATAGCCAGCTCCCTCTCTAATGCCGTTGGTTCCTCCCACCGTCCCCGCTTGTGGTCATATATCAGCCCGGGTCCGGGCTCCCCCCCTTCCCACCTGTAGCCTGCTGCCGCTGCAAAAGCGACCAAGGTGGGCAGAGCCCTCCTGTCCTGCCCCACCTAGTTGCACGGGTAGTGCCTGCTGTAACTTCTTTGACAAACTGGCGCGGGAGTCCGTCCCGGCTCCAGGATGTCCACCACCCTCCTCCCTGTAGCCCTCCTCATCCCCTCTGCTTCCTCCTGCAAATCCAGCACGGGAACCACGTTCTGCCAGTACATCCTGAGACGGTGAGCGTACGACCCTACCCTGGCTGCATCACAGCTCATCCCTTTTCCCAAGTGCCGGCCAATCCTCTCCCTCACCAGCCGAATCGGCTCTCTACAATCCCCTTCTAGATCCAGATTCTCTAGCAAGTAGGCCACTCTGCCCTGCCTCTCCTGCAGCCACTCCAGGATATTGAACAGGTTGTCCATCAGCTTCGTCCTCGGGTCTTCCCCTCCCTTCCCTTTTCCTGCCCATGACACCCCTTGACACTCCCATCCCGCCACCAGCAGGTCTACCTGCCCCCAGCTGGCCACCTGCTCCTCTGTGATCTGACTCACATCGTGCACCGTACTGCTCATGGCCTCCAGAATCACCTTCTCACTCAGGAGGTCCGGGAACTCAGCTTTCAGCTTCCGCGCGTGATGCTCAGCCATCCTTCTCACCTGTGGTGCCTGTTCCACATAGACCCACTGCTGCACTGCAATCCCACTCCTCACTGCTGCCGCCAGCCCTGCCCCGATTCCTCCGAACAACTCTAGTAGCCGGATGGGCGGCTGCCAATTGCTTTGCTGCCCCGGCTTGTCCATCAGCTTCATCCTGGGCCCCTCCTTGGTCTCTGCTGCTCCTCTCTGCCCCCTCTGTGCCCTCCTGCTCCGACCTAATAGGCCCGCTTCGGCTCCACCCTTACAAACTGCACTGGCAGCTGCCCCAATGGTCCCTCCTTCTTCCAGTACCTCGTTCGGAACTCCACCTTCTCCGTCCAGGTACATATGCTCATGCCTACAGCGAACACCAATTCCGTCCCCATCAGCAGATCAAAATCCTCGGACTCTGAGATTCCACACTTCATCCTGATCCTTGTTTCATGCTCCCCTCCTGGCAGCAGTGTCAACTCTATGGGGGTCCGTGTGCACGGCATCCACTTTGGTTCCCCTCCCTTTGCCGTCATGACTAACATCCCCTTCGCCACGTGCCTCTCAGGGGCCATCAGCCGCTCTTCCCCAGTCCTTCTCTCCTTGGCCCTCTCCAGTCCTTCCCTGGCCTCTCGGGCCCGCTCAGCGCCATATGCTAAGCTCCCTCCTCCAGCTCTGCTCTCCCGCCGGTTCCAGCCCGAGTCACCGTGCCTTTCTCTCGGGCCCCTCTCCTCTCCCGCACGCCCTCGCGTTCGTGCCGGCGAGACTCGTGTCTCTCTCCACCTCGCCGTGCTCGTCTCTCGCTGCCACTGCCTCTCTGGCGACGGTTCCCATGCTTCTCCCCTCCCTTGCTGCCGACGATCTCCGGGCGAGCGCCTGTCTCCGCCGCCTTCTCCTCCCCGCTGCTGCCGGACGAGAGGCGAGCGGAATCCGCCGCTCACCCTCCTCTCCCATTGCGCTTGCGGGCCGAACGTCCGTGCCTCCCCGCCGCGCCCCTCTTGCCGCTGGCCGCGCCTCTCTGACGAACTGGGCCCCTCCTCGCGTCCTTCTTCCCGCCGCCAGTGGTGGCTGGCTGCGCGTGGCTCGCCCTCCCATCCTCCATTGTGCATCAACTGCCTGTCCGGCGATCGTGCGCCGTCTTCGCCCCAGCCCCCTTGTGCCTGGCGCCAGTCGAGTGCGCGAGGGTTAACAGAAGGCCGCTCCCAGCGCCGCGATCCTTCCCCTGACGCGCGCGGTCCCTCTTCCTCCCTTTTGCCGCGTTCTCCTTGCGTCCCCACAGCGCCGGCACGCACGCCCCAGTTCCGCCGCTCCTGCTGACGCGACCTCTCCGCGTAATGCTCCTCCTGGCGGCTTGCGTCGCGCCCGCGCAATTCCGACCGTCCCGACCGCGATCCTTCCGCCCCTGCCTGGCTTGCGCCCCCGGCAATGTCCGCCTCTTCAGGCTCGGAGCCTCCGATCCCAGCCGCGAGTTCCTCGCCGTCATCTTCTCCGTTGGCGTCTTCGACCGCCCGTTCCAGGTTCGCTGCGTCCTCCTCTGCCTCTTCCTCGCCGGACGTCGCCCACGCTTCTTCCTTTTTGGCGGCTTCCCCTCCTTGGTCGGCGTCGAATCGCTCGATGCCCTGCCAACGGCCCCCCTCATCACGGCGGCGCCCGCGCTCTTCCGGCGAGCGGAACACTCCCGCAACGCGTCGGTCTCCGCTCCCGTATCCATCTCCGCGATCATGCTCTCTTCGCCATACGTCTCCGTCCGCGCTTGCGGCGTATCCTTCTCCACCCGCTGCCACGCCAGGCCTCCCTTCCGCCCGTCGATCCCCAGCGATAAGAACTCTATCTGCGCGAAATGCCGGCCTTCGCGGCAAGCGCTCCAAAGATCGCCCGCGCTCGCGTGACGGCTCACCTCGTGCTCGTTCCTCCTCCCGGCGACTAAACACCCTACCCCAACGTAGCTCATATTTATCCATGACTGCGTGTCGCGCCTATTGTTCAATATGAACGGGATTACTCCCTCACCCCACCGGTTCCTTCTTAGTGCTGTGCCACCGCGTGTAGTAGCTAGGATGACAGCCCTGCACAAGTATGAAAGAATACTGAACAATAGGCATCGAGTGAGTGGGCGTGGGTGACCTTACCCAACCTCGGCTTGCACATTTCCAATGTGCGGCTCGAGGTTGGGATTTGTTCGAATCCCACATTTCGCCCTTCGGTGCTTTTCCCCCTTCATCCCAACCGCTCCCACATATTTCCCCCTTTCTACACCCCTTTGCAACCGACACTTCGCTACTGGCTACACTTCCTACACTACTTCTTATCTATGTACTTCAATGTATTCTTAGCTATTTTCTATACTACTTCACAGCACCGCACTCTACTGTTATTGCATATGCATCCCTTGCATATGCGGTGACAGATCCAGTCCACTCGATTCCTAACCCGGTTGATCCGGTTCCTCACCCGGTTGCGATCCGGTTCCCCACCAGGTGTCCGTCCACGCATCCGGTTCCCCACCCGGTTCCGGCCCGGCTGATCCGTCCGATCAGGTTCCCACCAGGCATACCCAGTTCCCCATCCGATGCCAGATCCGGGTTCCGGCCTGGTTGATCCGACAGGCCCGGCTAATTCGATACCCAACCCGGTTGATCGGGTTCCTTACTCGGTTTCGGTTCCCTAAACCCTGCCTGTTAGGTCTGGTTCCCAACCATGTTGATCCGGTTCCCCATCCGGACCACCTAGATGAACGGGTTCCCCCGCCTGGTTGGTCCGGTTCCCCACCCGGTTCCCCATGTGGATGGTCCACACGGTCCGTTTCCCCACCCGCATGACACGAACGATCCGGTTCTCCACCCGGTTGATCCGGTTCCCCACCCAGATGACCCGGATGATCCGGTTCCCCGATCCAATTGGTCCGATTTCCCACCCTATTCCAATCCGGATGGTCCGGATGGGTCCGGTTCTCCACCCGGAGGACCCGGTTGATCCAGTTCCCCATCCAGATGGTCTGGATGGGTCCGGTTCCCTTCGTGGATGACCCGGTTGATCAAGTTCCCCACCTTAATGGTCCGGACAGGTCCGGTTCCCCGCCCAGATGACCCGGTCGATCCGGTTCCCCACCCGGATGGTCCGGATGGGTCCGGGTTCCCACCTGGATGGTCCGGATGGGTCCGGGTCCCCACCCAGGTGATCCGGATGAATCGGTTCCCGACCCGGATGACCCGGTTAATCCGGTTTCCCACCCAGATGGTCTGGACGGGTCCGGTTCCCGACCCCGTACCCCACCCGGACGGTCAAATTGGGTTCAATTCCCCACGCGGATGGTCCGGTTGGGTCCGGTTCCCCACCCGGCTCCCCAACCGGTCGATCCGGTTGATATGGTTCCCCACCCGGATGGCACGGTTGGCGCTCTTCCCTTCCCTGATGACCCGGATAATTTGGTTCCGCATCTGGATGGTCCAGTCGATCCTAATCCCCACTCGGATGACCCGGCTGATCCGGTTCTTCATCAAGTTCCCCACCCCCTAAACTCGGATGATCCGTTTCCCTTCCTGGGATGGTTTGGTCGATCTGGTCCCCACCCGGATGACCCTCGTTGGTCTGGTTCCCCACCCGGATGGCCCGGCTGATCCGGTTCCTGGTCTTGTTCCCCATCCGGTTTTCTCCACCGTGATGACCGGGTTGGTCCGGTTTTGCCTAGCTTGCTGGCCCCTATAATTTTTTATACTTTTGAGAGTACCCGGTTGATCCGGTTCTGATCCGGTTACCAACCCGGTTTTGGTCCGGTTGATCCGACCGATCCGGTCTATTTGATTACCAACCCGATTGATCTGGTTTCCACCCGGTTCCGATCCGGTTCCCCACCTGGTGTCGGTCAGCTTGACCTGTCTGGTCCGATCCATCCGGTTCCCCACCCGGTTTGTCCGGTTCCCAACCTGGCACCCCACCCTGATGGTCCGGTCGATCCGGTTCCTCGCCCGGTTTCCTGCCCGGATGAACTGGTTCCCTGCTCGGTTGGTCCGGTTCCCCACCCGGTTCCCCATCCAGATGGTCCGGTCGGTCTATCTCCCCACCCAGATGGGACCGGTTTCCTACTTGGATGGTCCGGATGGGTCCGGTTTTCCACCCGAATGAACAAGCCGATCCGGTTCCCCACCCGGGGATGGTCCGGATGGGTCCGGCTCCCCACCCGGATGGCCCGGTAGATCCGAATGGGTCCAGATGGGACCAGTTGTCCACCCAGATAACCCGGATGATCCGGTTCTCCACCCGGATGGTCCGAATAAGTCTGTTTCCCGACCCGGTACCCAAAAAAAAGGATCCGATTGGGTCCCGTTCCCCACCCGGATGGACCGGTTGGGTCTAGTTCCTCAACCAGATTACCCAGATGATCCGGTTCCCCATCCGGATGGGTCTGGTCGATCCAATTCCCCACCCCCACGACCCGGTTGATCCAGTTTCCCGCCTGGTTCCCCACCCGGATTACCCGGACGACTCAGATGATCCAGTTCCCGGTCCGGTTTCCTACCCAGGATGGTCCGGTCGATCCGGTCCCCACCCGGATGACCCTAGTCGGTCTGGTTTGCCACCCGGATTCCCATCTAGATGGTCGGGTCGGTCCAGTTCCCGGTTAGTCCGGTTCAGCATCGCTTTGTAAGCCGCTGCCCCCTAAAAACCCCTGAATTTTGCTGAAAATAGAGGATCGCCCGCTTATGTCCTTAGTTCTGTCTTTCGTCGAGTCATCGTCCGTCTAGACAGTTTTGCCCATTTGCTCCACACGAGATTTATGTTCTCGTTGAGCTTGCCTTAGGACATACGCGTTATCGTTTAACGGATGTGCCGCCCCAGCCTTAGGACATCCGCCTGGATCGGCCGAAGCCATTAGGCAAGAATCAGGGGCAATGCCCCGCCCCCACCGCATGGATTAAGCAAAATAACGTCAAGAGTAGTTGTATTTCACTGGCGGTTTCCCTCCCAGTTATGCTACACCTCGTGAGCCTTTTCTTAATGTCAGACTAGAGTCAAGCTCAACAGGGTCTTCTTTCTCCGCTGATTTTTCCAAGCCCGTTCCCTTGGCTCTGGTTCGCTGGACAGTGGGAATCTCGTTAAACCATTCATGCGCGTCACTAATTGGATGACGATGCACTTGGCTACCTTAGGAGGGTCATACTTACTCCCGCCGTTTACCTGCATTTGGTTGAATCTCTTCACTTTGTTATTCAGAGCACTGGGCAGAAATCACATTGCGTCAACATCCGTCGGGAGCATTGCAATGCTTTGTTTAAATTCAACAGTCGGATTCCCCTTTTCCGCGCCGGTTCCGAGACGATTGCTCTCCGCCCAGGAGAGGGTCCTCGTGAAGGGACCGCTCTGCGTCCGTCGGCCAGTAGGCACGTGGGGGCCCGCCTTAACGGGGTGAACCGGCGCCGGGTAGACCTCCGACAGAATGCGGTGTCGAGCACGCATCCCGCAAGCGGAATGAATGAGCACCCTGTTTGTCTGATCTTGAGCAAGCAGGCCTCCTCGTTAGAAAGATGCGAGAGTGTCCCAACGTAGGCTCTGACCGCTTCGCTTGGTGGTCATGCATTCCGCAAGCGTGATGGATGACACCTGTTCGTTCGATCTCGGCCTCAAGTTAACTCCAAAACCTTTCCCAGAGAAACGCGTTTCCCACTCGTAATCACGCAGCTTGGCAAACCTCGCTGCCCGCATCCGGCTGGGCACCCGCTATCCACATCCGCCGTTTGGAGACCTAGCATCGTCAAACATCCGACTGAGATCGTCCGCGTTCAACTTGGATCTCCTCCCTTTGTTGGTGTCAAGCGAGCTTTCGCGTTTAGGGTTAGAAAAAAAATCGACCGTCTAGACCACTACCTGAGGCATTATCCAAGTGGATATACTACAACAATTTAGCTTTCATCCCTTGCCATCAGGTAGTGGTTGAACACCCGACCGGATCAAACCCCTAATGGGGAGTGATCTGACCGGGCCCTCTTCTTTGCCGATTTCTACTCTCCCCAACCCATGGGTCAATGACGCCGCCTTGCATTGCGCAAAGAGGGGGGGCCACCTAACCATGAGCGGACTGGAATAGAAAACGGTCCCATCATTCCCAGTGCCAATATATTTGTAGGGACATGGCAGGCCCTGGTAGTAAAGGTGCCTTCCCTGGGTTATCCGCCGAGCTTTTGTGGAGAGGGT